CTTCATTTTTGAGGAATCGAGATATTAAAAGTGCATATAGAACAAGTAATACGTTGGGAAAGCTAGTTAAAAATAATAAGGATGAAACATCCAAATTCGAGAAATCAGGGGTATATAAATTGAAGTGTGGAACGTGCCCTAAGGTATATATTGGTCAAACTGGCAGGACATTCAGGAATCGAATCCAGGAACATCATATGCTATGTAAATAAGAAAACAAATTCAACATATTCAAATCATCTTCTAGAAGAAACTCACATCTTTAATGAAGAGTTCGAAATTTTGTACATAGAAGATGAAAGGTTTGAAACTGAATCATTTGGAAGTAATGGAAATTAATAAACTTAAAATTCAAACATTCCAATGAATGACCAACTAGATTTGAATAGATCACCATTTTGGAACTTGTTTTCTTAAAAACCTAGAAAGAATTATTATTGAGCTAGATGTGAGGCAATATGCTTTAGGTAATCATAATTGAGCAGGTACGAGGTGTAGAGGTTCAGGTAATTTCTTACAGGTACTCTCAATTATGGTTACCTGTAGTATATAAATATGAATGTAAGGATAATTTGATGTATTAATCACTTGAAAAAGCTAATGTTTAGCGAAACATGTTGTGATATATTTTTTCAATAAAGTTTGTGGAGATCAAATCGTTTAGGTGTAGTTTGTGAAATTACTATGGATCTTCATCAAGTAACGGCCGAATCAATCAGAAAATTAATTTTATTATCCCAAATTTCAATTTTTTGAGTTGATCCCTTCCAAAAATAAAAGCGGGGGGCATTAACGAAATGCACTGTATGATCTGGTTAACTACCTGGCTGAAAATGAATATAGTTCTTCCAATACGTAATGTTTGAAAGAGTAAAAAATAGTTATTTTTCATATATCGCGAAATCATAATATTTGAAAATTGTTGAATATTCATACTAGGCTGTTAACAATCATCTTCCTTATATTTTGCAAGATTGATAATTACTCAACTAGTTTTTTAATCAAACAACTCCTAAATTGTGCGAGTAGAAGGTGATATTGTTTCAGAAACGTGACAACGATATTAATTAATATTCAACTTATATCTTTGGCCATTTTTGTTCATATTCACCTAGCTCAGGAGTGAAATTATATTGAATGCTGAAGACTTCCGATTGAATATCTGATTTGATTTTTAAAGAGTTTATCTTTCATACCATCACTCCCCTATGAACTGTTTCAGTTTTCATTTTAAAATCGGATGACATTTTGTGAATATTTGGATACAAAGTGTGAAATCCAATTGCAATAAATACAGAAATGGAATTCCCAATGGTAAATTTTTAATTGTTTATTTATTTAAATTAGGGCAACTTTGGACTTGGTTCCTCCCACAAAAAGTAATATATTCATTGAATCGGTTAATCCATCAAGACCCTACCACTATTTATCCGGACAACTTTGATGTAGTTTCCACATTCACGAAGTTACTGGGATCGCAAGGGACTTGGTGGTCATTTGTTGGATAAACACCACAAATAGTTACAATTTTTTGTAACCCAAAACTTCAGGTTTCAAACTTCAAAACTGACAAAATTCAATACAATTTTTGAACTGCAATTCTTCCTCCTTGAGGATGGAAAGTTCTGATTCTCTTTCTTGATGCGTATTTACGCTATACAAAGAACCTACCTGAATTTTTCAAGATTCTAGGTTCAGTAGCTTCGGCTGTACGTTATTAATAGAGTGTCAGTCAATCAGTCGGTACCCAATATTGAATAGCATCAGCAATAAAATAACTGAAAGGATCATAATGAAATACATTGGTAATCCTGCTGATCATACTCCTTACGCGTTATAATGGGGTAAAGTTTGTGAGGATGGATGGGTGTAATGTATGTATTCACGTTTTTTACTTTTTCACGCCTAAACAGCTTAACGGATTCAATTGTAAGTTGGTATATAGATAGATCATGACCTGGAATAACACATAGGGTAGGTTTCCACGGTAACGCATGTAAAACACCGGGGAACAGCTAGTAACACTACTAGCTGAGTAAATTGCATGTTTTTTTTTCAATAATCGCAATTAACTATGAAAAGTAACAGTATGTTCCGGACTTTTTACGTGAATTACTATTTTGGCTATTACGGAGAAATAAATCAAACACATATTCAAAACATAGATCCATTTATTTTATAACTAACAGCTTTACATTCACAATGTGATGATTATGTAAGGAGTGATAGTTTTTCTTGAATCACTATTATATTGTGACTTTCATAATTATCTACCACGCAAAATATTTGATCACTCTTTATAAAGCTATACATTATTTACAACGACATATGTCGAGCACCAATCAAAATGGAGGTGAACAAGAAGAATCTATTGCATTTTTTGAACATGCTTGAAAATATCAAGACACAAATTGGCTGATTAGGTTGATGAGTCTATCCATCGGATTATTTCAATATAGAGGAAACTTCAGCAATTAAAATTGAATGTGTTTCAAAAAGTAAACGAAATAATGGAAACAAAATATTTGAGTTGCTCCAATGGATTATGATATCGAACTAGATATTTTGAATTTCGAAAATAACATATGTTAAGCTAGGAAGAATATTCTAAAACTACAAAAAATACTTTGTATAATCCTCTCCAATGATTTAATGAAGGTACATATTTATTGTCTAATGATGGATATATCAATAATAACACATGGAACATTTATGCAAAATAAACTTCAGTCTTAGCCTAAAGATGAGTTTTTACATATTTATACATTCAGCAATATTTTGTACATACCATTTCACTTAAAGCATCAATCAGCTAGCATTTTGTTTTTTTATTGAAAAAAATGGATGTTTCAATTTCGCAACATTAATGACCCTCTACTATCTATTGCAAAAATCCAGCAATTTATATATTTAAACGGTTGTGAAATTTCATAACCTCATCATCAGTTTCCGTCTTTTTGAAAGAGACGTTCACAAAAGATAAGGAAAAGAAACATAATTTGAGAACAAATACTCGTGGGAACATAGGACTGAAGTACCAAACGTTTCTGCCATTGCGGCAGGCATCATTAGTAGTATGTGAGTTGACTTCGACAATATCTGGCAATGAAAATGAAGAAGAAACATAAAAAGCGGCACATTTTTCGGGCAAACACAACGGCTACAGGGTCAGTTTCTTGTGAAATTTTCAAAAATATTTTGGTGGATCAACAACAAGTTAAATAAATCCTACCGGAAGGAAATTTGTTTTTCAAAAAAGGAGAAAACGATTTTTCTAATGTGAAGTCCGGATGAAACCGCGTCCGGTGTTTTTAGTAGTTCATCGTTACGGCTTTGCAGCCATTTTCAATGAGCTATCACTAAACTGAGGTCTCAATTTGTCTATTTCTCACGTAGTGACACGCTGTAAGGGGTTTTGTGACTCGACGCCAGGGTCTCAATCTGCCTACTCTCCAAATCTCATCGCTGATCTCTGCAAGGGTCTCGATCTGCCTACTTCCGAGCGTGGACTGTGGGTCCACCGGTAGTGGTCTGGTATTTATGTCACTAGACGAGTGAAGAGGGGGAGTGGTAGTGAAAGCGATGGTGGAATTGGTAGTGAAAGCGGGGTTGTGACTTGCAGATAGGAGGTGTGCAAAGTGAGACGGTTATGATCTTCATGAATGAGTGAATCATACCGTTTGTTGAGGCAGTTGGGGCGTTTTTCAATTTCAATATCTTCGCGGATTGTGCGTCATTGAGAATTGTGTCCTTAGGTGTTCGTAGAGAAGTGGAAATGAGACTGTTGGCTGTGGAAACTGTTCTTATGTCGAGCCTCTTCAGAATTTGTATCATTCGTTTCAGTAACATGATGAATATAAGGACACCCGGCGATTTTGAAAAAATGTGTGCGTGTACTTACGTATTTTGATGCGTAGATTACGAATCCGAAAGAAAAAAGCGGCGCTCTCCCTTATTTTAAAAGTTACGGCCCTTCAAAGTTCTGAAAAGTGCAACTTTACAGCCTTCTTTTTCACAAAATAAACTATTCAAAAACACAAGCATCTCTTCACTAGGTCACCTTTACACCTTATTCCTCCTTCTTTGACACTTTTCACTTCAATAATCAACATTTTTCTTATAAAAAACTCAATTTTAAAACGAATGCTTCTCCTGGTGACATTATTTTATTTTTAGGTTAGTTACTAGTTACATTTCAGGAAAAAGCGGTTGGTATTTGCCGCCGCCTACTATTTCAAATTTGTAATACACCACCAGAAACCAATTTACGATCTAAAGAATGAAGGTAAAGAACATTTGAATTACTTCAGGAATATGGACTGCATCAGTCGTACCAACCATGCCATTAACCTTAAAAAAACGTAAAATACAGAGATATGTAACCAAAAAGCAGCTCCGTACATTTTTTAACATTTTTATTGGGAAAATGTTGATTATTGAAGTGAAAAGTGTCAAAGAAGGAGGAATAAAGTGTAAAAGTGACCTAGTGAATGAATGCTTGTGCTTTTTAATAATTTAATTTGTGAAGAAGAAGGCTGAAAAGTTGCCCTTTTCAGAATTTTGAAGGGCCGTCACTTTGTAAATAGGGGAGAACGCCGCTTTTTTCTTTCGAATTCGTAATCTACGCATTAAAGTAGGTGAGTACACGTAAGTAAGTACTTACACAGTAAGTACATCAAAGTAGGTAAGTAAGTACACAAAATCGCTGGGTGTCCTCAAAACGAAAATTTACCGAAAAAAAAAAGCTTTCGGGTGGTCAGTCTGTTCATCCGGTTGTTTGGATATAAAGTACGGGTTAGCTGAAGTTGGAAGTCTTTGGATTTGGGATTGGCGACGAGCAGATTTGAGCTCGTCTAATTCCTTGGATCTCGGAATGGTTAAATTAAAATTTTTTGTTTGAACACCTTCCATTTTCTTTTGCGAACATTCGTCAAAAAACACGCAATTCGAATTCGACACATAACATATCCTTGACAAAATCTATATGAACGTCCGATGGCATCAGAAATGAAAATTGATTATTTCGTCCTTACATATAAATCTCTACAAAATATTAACTTACATGTTGATGGAATGCACTTCATGAAGTATAACATCAATAACAACAAAACCGTAATGTTAAGGAAACGCAAATTCATCCCCTAGAACACCGCATTTGTCAAACAAAATCCGAGTTACTACTGAATGTACCGGATCCGGAAGATGACACCCTGACGAGTAGTGAACAATCACTGTCACTGTCGAAACCGATGTCATCTTCGTCGTACCCTATAGAGTTCCTCGATCATAGTTCGATCACTTCGGGTCCCTTCCAAGTGATGCCAGCTCGTAGGAGGTTGAAGAAACGCATCACGCCGCTTATCGCTACAGCCTGAAAAGATAAATGATGCTCTAAGTTTGCCACTATTCATTGATAGTAATAATAATAATACAACTATCCTCCGAAGAGAAGGAAAAACGGATAAAATATCAAGATTTTCCCCTACGAGCAGTCTTCATCAAGACCACTTTGTCAAGATGGTTGTTGAACCGTTTTATTCAGCTTATCCTGTTTGTGAGTCAAATTTAATAACTGAAGTTTCACCCCCTTCCTAATTCCTAAATCTAATAATTTTCAAGCTTTTCAAACCTTTCTCTTCGACATGTAATACGTCATAATCGTGGTTGAACTCATGCTTCTACAATTAATAAACTACTACTATGTTCTTATATTCTCTGGGAGGAGGTTCTTCCTGTTTGGCCAATATAAAGTTCTGAGTAGACGGGGAGAACCTCGTCTCATATACTCCTGATCTATTCGATATTGAAGTTTTGTCTTCATCGTCTTTAATAATTTTTTTTAATTATTATTTGTTCTGTAATCCACATTCAATCATTTAGTTTCCAAGAAACGATTTCATAAACACTACTAACAGGCAGGTCGGAAGAGTCTAGTTAGTCTAGTTGAAAGTGCGGTACGAAGGGATCTAATGAAGTGATAGACATTTGAGTATTAATCTCAATTCGATTAAAGCGTAGTAAACCGTTTTGCCCGTTAGAAACCACCCTCACTGTGTAACATCTAGGGTTGTCTGACGTGTTCATCAAATTCAAGCTTATTAACAATAAATACACCAAGAGATTCAGTGTTCAAGTTGTTTTCCAAGATATCATTATCTATTGAGAGTTCATTTAGCAGACATTCAAATGTTATTATATATGTTTTGGGGATATTCAAGAATAATAAATGAGCGTCACACCAATTTTTCATTGTAAAGCTGCCAGATATATCTATCATAGTCAAATCATTAATATATAACAAAAACAGAAATGGACCTAACACAGAACTACATCTGGCACACCAGATGCAGTTGCCCTGCTTTCTGAGAGTTCGCAGAATAGTTTAAAAGCAAGGATATTAAGGACAACATTGAACCTGCTGGAATCCCTGGAAAATAATAAACGCAAACAATAAAATTTCCTACTGATCTGCATTTATGTGGAGTAAACTTTCTGAGAGAACATTTTTCCAAATGAATTTGATCTCCAGCGATTCAAATCCAACGTGAATCACACAGGCACCGCTCTTAGAACGCCGCAAGAATTTTCCTGCCTTGCTTGTGTTTTGTCCTTGGAAAAAAGTTGATCTAGAAACAATATGTTTACCAATTATTTATCGTTATTAGTTAAGGTAGATAATTGGTTTCAATTGTTCTTTAAATTACTGTAGAATATTAGTCCAACTGAGGAAACTACTATGTAGTGAAACGTGTATTGAAAATGAAGTCTATGTTTGTGAAAGTTTGTAATTATCATCATGAAATTAGTTTTTTCAGTAGTAATCAAAAATTTACTGTTGTATTCGATGTTATTATTGTAATTTTTTGAATTCCTTTGCGGTTGTTGAATTGAATGGACATTTCTGAACCGTTTTATCAATATAAAAAACTTCCATTTCCAGTAATATGAATGCAATTTTCAGTGGCATCGTTGAGAAAAATCCCGAAATTTATTCCTTATCCGCAATAACACCACCCACAAATAGACTTTCATATAAAAACTTTCATGATAGGTATAAACGACGCACAAAGAATAATTTATGTGTTATTTCAGCCGCGATATTCCACTTCTTCAGATGCAGGGAAAGTTTCCCATACGTTGTCAAACTTGAAAAAAATGCTAGTTTTCCACCAGAAAAGTTTCGAAACCTTTCTATTTGAGTCTGGCTCCGAATGCGAAAACGCATGAGTGGGCGATTTTCCGCTAAACTTGGAACATACACGGATCTGTGAGAGTTTTTATTAGCTTTCCTTGCGAGCTTCCAATGTTATGACACTCTTATTCCGAGATAAAAGGCCGATATTATTTCCACTTTGTGCTTTTCGATATTGGAGCACGGGATGCGTCGATGGTTTCAATTTAGATTCATGAAAGTTTACAGAGTCCGAAAGGAATGTATGAAGATCTTTACAAAGAGAGTGTTTGTCACAAGAGATCGTCATAATAAGGATATTTTTGTGGGTTTGAAAAATGTCCTATACATGTATAAGTTTCTCGTCAATTTAATGTTCAATTTATTGTTTTTCGCTCATTTTTACTGTAAATATGATTTGTAATGTTATTCAATGGCAAAAATATTCACAACTCATTAAATTATAGGCCCTGAAGAAGCTTCACATTAGAAGTGAAAGCTTGGCAAAGTAAAGCAGAGTTTGATTTTTGATTTTTGACTGAGAGACCCTGTTATTCTATTTTACCGTATATATACAGTGTGTCCAAGATAAGGATCCTAAGCATGGGAATCTCAGTACCTGTTGGAGATACAGCTTAGGTTAAATTAGGAAAAAGTTGTGTTCTTTAAAGCTTATTCACATGCCGTTTAGAAATTTGATGAATTTTCATGGCCTGCTGAGATATTTTGGAAAAACGAGAATTTGACAATATCAATTTTATTTTTTTCTGACTTTATTTGAAAAGATATCAAAAAACGAATAACACTTTTTCATTGGCACTTTCAAGGTACTACACGATGGTATTTTTAGTTTTTATATCCGACGTTTCGTTTTCAAAAAACCATCATCAACTGTATTTTTTTAAATAGCCCGAAAAAAAAGTACACCCTGCATCTGATTCCATTTTTTATAACGAATTCAAAGATGTAACACATGCCATTGTTTTCTTTTTAGTTTAAGGAAAAATTGAATTTTTTCTATTTTTAAAATGTATTTTTAAGTAGGTTAATAATGATTTTTTTAAAGTAATGAAAACAACAAAGAAATTAACGCATTTTTTATTTAATTCAAAGGAGCTGTTCAAACAGGTTTCCGTTATTTTCCAAACATAAGTATGATCTTCTAACTGTAGAACTTAAAACATCACGTAACATCTCTGGTGTAATACTGTTAAATGCGACAGTTACACATTCTCGTAACTGCTGTTCAGTTTCAAAAGAATGTTGGTAAACCCGGTTTTTAACAAAA